TCCTTCTGCTTCCACCTTCCAAGTAGCTAGAACTACAGGCATGTGCCACTATGCCCGACTAATTTTTTGATTTTACTGTAGAGATGAGGTCTTGCCAAGTTGCCCAAAGTGGTCTCAAACCCGTGGGTTCAAGCAGTCCTCTCACCTCAGCCTCCCAAAGTGCTGAGATTATAGGTGTGAGCCACCATGCCCGGTCTTGGGTTTTCTTTCTTTTTTTGTTGAGTAGAGATCTCCCTCGGTCACTCAGGCTGTTGTAGTGCAGTGGCATGATCATAGCTTACCACAGCTTTGGACTCCTAAACTCAAGCAAACCTTCTGTCTTAGCTGGGACTACAGGTGTGCACTACCATACCCGGATATTTTTTTGATTTTTGTAGAAAATCGCTATGTTGTCCAGGCTGGTCTTGAACTCCTGGGCACAAGCAATCCTCCTGCCTCGTTGTCCCAAAGTGCTGGGATTACAGGACTGAGCCACTGTGCCCAGCAATTGAACTCTCGAGTTTTCTATATAGATAATTACCCTACCTCTGAATAACAACAGCTTCTTTTTCTTTCCTTTCCAAACTGATATTAAATTTCTCTTTATTGTCATACTGTACAGACTGAAACCCCTAGTACAATTATGAAAAGAGGTGATGAGTAGCAGGCCACTCTTATGCAATCCTGAACTTAAAAAAGGAATGATTCCAACATTTTACCATAAAGTATGACATCTGTTGTAAGTCTGTGGTACATAGTCATCAAAAGGTAGAAAACGTTTACTTCTATTACTACTTTGTTAAGAATGATCATCTCATGCTTTTATATTTAAAGTTAATTTAAAACAAATGCCCTGCCGGGCTCGGTGGGTCAGCCTGTAATCCCGTGGCTTTGGGAGGCTAAGGTGAGTAGACTGCCTGAATACGCGGGTTCGAGACCCGTCTGGGCAGGCGAGACCTCATCTCTACAACAAATAAAAAAAATTAGCGGGGCATGGTAGTGCACACCTGTAATTCCAGCTACTCGGAAGGCTGAGGCAGAAGGATCGCCAGAGCCCAAGAGGTCGAGGCTGTGGTGGCTGGGAGCGGCCACTGCACTCCAGTCTGGGCGACAGAATGAGACTCCGACTCAAAAAAAAACCAAAAAAACAAAAAAACAAATGCCGATTCATTTTCTACCATTAAACTTGCAACCTATATTCTTGAGATTATTGTTTCTTAAAATATATTTCCAATCTTTCTTCTTCTTGTGTGTGTGTGGCGATAGGGTCTTGCTGTATTACCCAAGCTGGTCTCGAACTCCTGGGCTCAAGCAGTCCTCCTACCTCAGTCTCCTGAGTAACTGGGATTAAGCCATTGGGACTGGTTGCCTTTTCTTCTTTCATATATAGCATTTAAAGCCTTCTAGATACTGCTTTAGCCACATCCCAAAAGTTTTGATGAACAGTATCTTTAGTTCTATATTTCCAACAAAACTTACTCTTTAATCAATGAGTTGTTCAGAAGTTTTTCTTAATTTTAAAACTTTAGGCCTGTCTCAGTGGCTCGGCCTGTAATCCCAGCACTTTAGGAGGCCGAGGCGAGAGGATTGCCTGAGCCTGGGGGTTCGAGACCCAGCTGGGCAACTTGACAAGACCTCATCTCTACAATAAATAAAAAATTAGCTGGGCATGGTAGTGTGCGCCTATAGTTCTGGCTACTTGGAAGGCTGAGGTGAACGATCACAGGAGTCCAGCAGGTTGAGTCTGCGGTGGCCGGAAGTGTGCCACTGCACTCCAGTCGGGGCGACAGAGAGGGACTCCAACTAAAAAAAAAAAAACCAAAACATCTTTAGTAATTGTTTTATTAAATTTTTCTTATTGAGGTAGAATTCACATACTATTAACCACTTTAAAATGTACACCTCAGGCATTTGCATGACTTAGTACACTCACAAGGTTGTGCAACCATCACTTCAACTTACTTTCTTTTTTTTTTTTAAATTCAGAGTCTCACTCTACTGCCCAGGTTGGAGTGCAGTGGCATGCTCACGGCCACCGCAGCCTTGATCTGCTAGGCTCAGGTAATCCTCCCATTTCAGCCTTCCAAGCAGCTGGAACTACAGGTGTGTGCCACCATGCCCAGGTGATTTTTATTTATTTATTGTAGAGACGAGGTCTTGCCAAGTTGCCCAGGCTGGTCTCGAACCCCTGGGCTCAGGCAATCTTCTCGCCTTAGCCTCCAAAAATGCCGGAATTACAAGCTTGAGCCACCGCCACTGTGCCCAGCTCAACTTAGTGGCAAGACATTTTACATCTACAGGAGACACTATCCATTAAGCAGTCACTCCCCATTCCTGTCTCTCCTTAGTCACTGGCAACCACTAATCTGCTTTCAATCTGTGTACTTACCTATTCTAGATATCTCACATAATGGACATATACTATATAACTTTCTGCATCTGGTTTCTTTAACTTGGCATATTTCTGAAGTTAATCCACATTGCAGCATGTATCACACAATTCATCATTTCTTTTTAGAGATCAATGTTCCATTATATGAATTTATCACCTTTTGTTTAGGTACTCATTTGTTGATGAACATTTGGGCTGTTTCCATCTTTTGGTTATTTCGTGTTGTTTTTTTTTTTTTAAGTCAGGGTCTTATTCTATCTCCCAGGCTGAAGTGCAGTGGCATAATCACAGCTCACTGCAGACTCAACCTCATGGACTCAGGCGATCCTTCCATCACAGATGCCTGAGTAGCTGGGACTACAGGTATGGGCCACCACAGCTAGCTAATTTTTCTTCTACTAAAACAGAAATTGAATAATTTTTTGTAGAGGTGAGGTCTTGCTATGTTGTCCAGGCTGGACTCAAACTCCTGGGCTCAAGTGATCTTCCCTCTTCAGTCTCCCAGAATACTGGAATTAGACATGAGCCACTGCACCTGACCCAGCTTTTGGTTATTTGAATAGTCCTGACATGGACATTCACGTGCAAATATCTGTTTAAACACCTGATTTCAATTATTTGGGGCATAGATCCAGAAGTAGAACTGCTATGTCATAGGGTAATTCTGTTTAATTTTAGTTTTAGTCGGGTTCTCACTCTTTTGCCCAGGCTGGCTCACTCAGTGGCATGACCATGGCTCACCACAGCCTTGACCTCTTGGGCTCAGGTGATCTTCCTACCTCAGCCTTCTGAGTAGCTGAGACTAAAGGCATATACCACCATGCCCAGCAGAGTTTTCTATTTTTGCAGAGACAGGGTCTTGTTATGTTGCCCAGGCTGGTCTTGAACTCCTACACTCAAGCAATCCTCGAGACTGGGCCTCCCAAAGTTGTGATAACAGGCATGAACCACCACACCATGCCCTTTTAACTTTTTAAGGAATCAACTCTTTTCAGCAGCAACTGGGGTGTTCTACGTTTCCACTAGCAATGCACAGGGATTCTGATTTTCCTACATCCTTGCCAACACTTGTTATTTTCCCCTTTCTCTAAATTTTAGCCAACGTAATGGGTGTAAAGTGCTATCATCTCATGGTTTTATTTGTATTTCTCTAATGTTTAATGATGTTGAACATCTTTTCATGTACTTATTGTCCACTGGCATATCCTTGGAGAAATGTCTATTCACGTGCTTTAGTCCATTTTTTAGTTGCTTTTTTTGGTCTTCTGTTGTTGAGTTACAAGGGTTTTTATATATTCCAGAGAACAGATCTTATCTGTTTTTTAACTTTGTATAACTTTACTCCATCAGTTTCTCAACTTCTACTTTTAAATCCATTAGTCAGTTTATTTTTATATTTCTAGTAAATTTTCAATTTTATGTATTTCAAAGTACACATTTAGATATAAAGATTCATGAGTTATACACTTAAAAATAATATCTCAATATAAAATACCTGTTTCTATTCTATGTATTTATTTACTTATTGAGTCAGAGTCACACTCTGTTGCCCAGGCTGTAGGGTAGTGGCATACTCACAGCCACTGCAGCCTCGACCTGCTGGATTCAGGTGATCCTTCTACCTCAGCCTTCCAAGTAGCTGGAACCACAGGCACATACCACCACACCTGGCTAATTTTTTGATTTATTGTAAAGATGAGGGCTTGTCATATTGCCCAGGCTAGTCTCGAACACCTGGACTCCGGCAATCCTTTCGCCTCCACCACCCAAAGCGCTGGGATTATAGGCATGAGTCACTACATCCAGCTTACTTCTATCCTTTTAATTGTTTTCTCTTTGTTTTTACTTTGTGTACCATCAGTATTAACACCACTGATTAGTCACATCTATTTTTTTCTATTAATAGCAGCTGCCTGATTTAATTTTCTGCCACCCCACATTTCCTCCTACCTTAAATCCAGAATATCAACAAATTTTGGAAGGTGAATTACTAGCACATATTTACTCTGTTGAACCAGAAGCCCTTACATGTTTTTCAAATCTAGATTGTGGTTATTAAGTTTTCCAGCTATGAATTACTATGAGAACGTTTATGTCCTCATAAAGCCATCAACTCTACCTATTACCCACTGCTGGGGGGTGGGTGCTATGGGGAAACTAAGTCACTCTATCACTGACAACCTGGCTTATGTTTTTTTTTTGTATAGCAGAGAAGAAATATGAAGCATAAATTGAAAAAAAGGAGAGAATGGGGGAATGACCAAGATGCCAAATTGTAAACTACTTCAATAAAGATGAGCCTATCTGCGATGAGTCCTTTTTTCATTTGACTTTAAACCAAAAGGAATTCAACTGGTTCACTGTGAGAAAATGGGAACAACATAAAGATCCCGAGCAAGCAAGATAAAAAGGGCAATTCTACCAAAAGACTAACTGAATGAAAAGTCTGCCAGGTTTCCCGTCTCTTTTCATGCCAGCCAAGAGTTAAGTATGTGAGTTGCTCTCTTCTCACTTTACCTCAATCTCAGACCATCTCCAGGGTTTTCACGCAGAGTTCATGGATTAGACTTTGATAATCACTGGCAGATAATAAGTGGTAAATATGTAACTGATAGTTATGTTCACTTACTTCTGAATATCTCCATTGTTTCTTAGTTTGTTCTTACTTTTCTTTTCAGCCTTGGTTGTAACTGGATCCGATTTTCTGGAATTCAAAGGAGAGGCCGAGATACTTCCCTCACAGAAATTGTTCTTTAACAGAAAAAGCATAAGAAACTTATTAGAAGGAATTTTATAAGAAAATTAGCTATTAGATACCTGCACATGCATGTTTATTGCAGCACTATTTACAATAGCAAAAACATGGAATCAACCGTGCTGCCCACTGAAGTTGGACTGGATAAAAATTGTGGTACACATACACAATGGAATATTATGCAGCCAGAAAGAAGGACAAACATGGACTTCTCAGCAACTTGGATGGATTTAGAGTCTATAATACTCAGTGATTTATCACAGAAACAAATAACTAAGTACCGTATGTTCTCACTCATAAGCTAACCCTGTACATTTACCATATTGTAAGGAAGGAATTGGCAGTAGCTGGAAACTGCCAGGGGGTGGGAGAACAAACAACATTAATAAGGGTACCTGATCTTAAATCAAGCAAAGCAGGGACCAAAGGTAGGTCCAAACTTTACCGTACAATGATAACTTGTATACCTAATCCTGAATTGTACACATCTTTAAAATAAAATAAATCAAAAAAAGAAAATAAGCTATTAATTTTTAAGTCAGAATCCACATAATTTTTCATAAATTATATTTACATTTATAAATTCCATACATCTTTTGAAGAATACTGCCCATGTAAAAATCAAACAAAATTAAGACTATTCAAGTTAGTCTAAATTAATTATATATTTTTTGAGTCATTTTCTCACTCTGTCTCCTAGGCTGAAGTGCAACGGCATGATCATGGCTCACCACAGCCTCAACCTCCTGGGTTCAGGCAACCCTTCCATCTCAGTCTCCCAAGTAGCTGACATTACAGGCACACACCACCACACTTGGCTAATTTTTTTATTTTTTATAAAGACAAGGTCTCATTACGTTGCTGAGGCTGGTCTCAAACTCCTGGGCTTAAACAATCCTCCTGTCTTGGCCTCCCAAAGTCCTAAGATTACAGGCATGAGCCATTATGTCCAGTTGTTAATTACATTTTTACCGTACACTATTAAGTACAAAAACAGGCATGAGGACACTAATCTTATTAGCTGATAATTTCTACTGACTTTTCTAATAAAAAACTTCATATAATCATAACTACCTTGTCTACAGGGGAAAATTCAAAGAGCTGTGAATATACTTGGAGTAAAAGTTAGTTTTACATTAGAAAAATTTAATTCTGAATTTTAAGACCATACCAATTAATATCACACATATTAACTTGTTGTACCAGTCTTATAAGTTTCTTTTTCTTTTCTTTTCTGAGTCAGAGTCTCACTCTGTTGCCCAGGCTGGAGTGTAGTGGCATGCTCACAGTCACTCCAGTGTCGACCTGCTGGCCTCCGGCAATTCTTCCGCCTCAGTCCTCCAAGTAGTTGCAACCACAGGTGCGCTCTACCATGCCCGGCTAATTTTTTACTTATTGTAGAGACAAGGTCTTGCCAAGTTTCCTGGGCTGGTCTCGAACCTGCAGTCTCAGGCAATCTACTTGCCTCAGCCTCCCAAAGTGCTGAGATTACAAGTGTGAGCCACTGCATTCAGCACATAAGTCTCTTGATACACTATTTAAAAAGTTGATATAATTACTCTCAAATATCAATAAATCTACTTTTATGATCACATGTAAAAACTAGGATTAGGATAGACACTTGAAAGACAGGTACAAACGACCCACATATCTTCTTCCCTATCCTATTTATTTTTTAATTGGTCAGTGTCTTTTCCTGATATAGCCTCCTGATTGTGTATCTTTCACTTAAAAACAAAACATAAAAAGAGGCATACAATGCAGAACTTGGGTATACTATTTGAGTGGTAGACCTTTTTTTCTTTTTTTTTTGAGTTGAAGTAGCTAGAATCACAGGCGTGTGCCACCACGCCTGGCTAATTTTTCTTTATTGTAGAGACAAGGCCTCACCAAGTTGTCCAGGCTGGTCTCAAACCCCTGGGCTTAGGCAATCCCTTCGCCTTCGCCTCCCAATGTGCTGGGATTACAGGCTGAGTCACCAAGCCTGGCTGAGTGGTAGACCTTTTAAAAAAAAGAATTCCTGCCGGGCTCAGTGGCTCAGTCTGTAATCCCAGCACTTTGGGAGGCTGAGGCGAGTGGATT